TTTTCACACTGGTCGGATTGAACCGGCTTCCTCCCGAGCAAGTACAGCATCACGGACCATCGCTGCCCACGCTCGCCGATCCTGAGCCAGGTCACACGAAATTGCGAGCCAATCGCGATTCCATCGTCGAAGACCAACTACTTGTGGACCCGATAGTACTGTTAGGTCATCCTTGATTGTGCTAGCCCCGTCCACCTTCAGTGGCTGCCAGTTGACTGGATCAACAAGGGACGGCGTAAATTTGGTCTTCGAGACATTGATGGTCGTACCCACATCCCGTGCTGCAGCTTGTACACGGTTGAGCACAGCTTGCATATCGTCACAGTTCGATCCGACCAAGACAATGTCGTCCGCGTAGGCCAGATCAGACACCCTGACATTCCGACCAACCGCAACTCCAGCGTAGTCCCGAAAGGCCTTGCCGAGGATGTAGTCGATTGTATAGTTGAATAGGGTAGGGGATAAGGCACACCCTTGCCGCACATTAGTCTTCACTTCAAACGTCTCCGTCTCCTCACCATAAGCACGAACACGGGCTAGCATCGACATGCTACTTCAAATTATTTATGATTCGCCGAGATCGAAAGACGGATACACGTACACTACGCTTTATTTATACAGATTTTAATATTTGTAACTTTTTTTTTAGATTGTTTTATATTTTATTATCAGAAGACAATAATTTCCATTGAGTCAAGATAGTAATCTGATAAAAGGATATCTGACACGAAAGTGCGCAGTCGTGTTACTAAATATATCCATGCAAAAAATGAACCTGTCACAGATGCTCGCTTAATGTTTAGGGAGGTCGACAGTAAATGTGAGTACAGTTAAGCGGTGAATAATGCGTTTTAACAGTCGCGACCCTGCACAGCTGTCAATGCACCTAATGTTAATCACTGAAAACAATATGGTGATCGTGATGACTTTGTGTGTGAAAACTTTCCCCATTCGACGGTTTTATTGTGCTTTTTGTATCCTTTGGATTTTCCGTGGAAATAAATTGGAGGCATTTCAGGGCATCCCTTGAATATCAATTCTTTTTTTTTTTATTGAATCGATATCTAATTTAAATCAATGAGTTCTACATCATTATTTCGTTGAATAATATTTACCTTTTCAGGTAATTATAAAACAATATTACGCAACTAATCAGGCGTATGGAAATACAATTTGTGTGAACATTTCAAAGTCATTAATTTGTTGTGCCAAAGAGAGAGATAACGTGTTTTTACATCATTGATACTTGAACAATTGTTAGCTGCAATTAGCAAAAAGGCAAGTAAATATTTAATGTATGGTTTCTTTGTGTTAATTCTGCAGAATACATTTTTTACTGTTAGTTCATTCAACACGAGGCCCAAGGGTCATTCAAGGTAAAGGATGTCTGGCTGAGATTGTTGTAAAATAGGGACAAAAGAAAGTAAGAGACTACTATGCCGACAATTAAGATAGATGCCGGTTGACCTTTGACTTAAATTGATCAGCATTGTAGTTGCCAGGAATGCATTCTTTTGAACAGGAGTAGAGATTTATCCCTTGTTTTTTTTTTTTTTTGTTTTGTTTTTTTTTTTTTAGGATTGGGGTTTTAGGTTACTTCTAAAGTCTATACTTGTAACATATCCGCCTAAACTGAAATTTTATTTATTTATTATTATTTATTTTATTTTATTTTTTCCTAAATAGGAGTAGATATGTCCATTTATCGTTCGGTTGGAATTCATCTCCTGTCTTTTGAACAGGAGTAGAAGTTTATCTCCTGTTCCCTGAATAGAATTAAGTTTTTGGCTCTTTTATAATTTTTCTCATTCTTTTTCATTTCCACTAACCACTTGCATCTTAGTGACTTTATTGGCTTGCTTGGGGTGAATTGATAGAATATATAATAAAAGATTTTCATCTACAGTTCTGAGGAAAAAGCTGTCTGAACGAAATGGGGACGATTTGCCACTAAGAACATGGTATGATGGAGGGTCCTAGCTGTGAAGATCCGAGCTGGTGAAACTAAGGAATGTAGCTCATCCGAACATGTCATAGTAATAACGAGTAAGGTTTCATCTGTGGGATAAGGGTTGCAGGATGGAGGCCGTGTAAGCGCTTTTGAACTCTGTCGGGGTTGGACACAAAGAATTAGGCAACATATGGCAGCAATACACTATTCTTAGTCTGATCTGACTCTTGTAACGATAGATCATGCCAGAAGGTGTTAGATATTTTCTGGGGCGATACAAGGAACCGAGCATTCTTAAAGTATCTTTCGCGATGGCACCGAATAAAAGCGTTTCACTTGAAGTCGGGAGTGAGCTTTAGACTTAACATGCTTTCGCGGAAAGGAGCCCCTTTGGGGCTATGACCACTCCTAAAGATTGGTGCAGGTTTAGGGTCTGTTCAATGGTGAAGAAATGTCACTAGTTTAGTTTTGTATGTATTGAATGATAGCAGTCAGTCTTTCTTTTTCCATTGGGACACTTGTGAACAAGATATTTGGAGGTGCACACATGCACCGTGGTATCATCAGCATATACCGGGTGTAACAGGTAAATTGTCCAAATTGTGTAACGGCAAAATTGTACAATTGTTAGATTAAGTTCTGCACCGTTGTATCTTAGAAATGATTAATGATATCTTACTGGAATTCTTCTAAATTTTATAACACTATTAGACTCCACATGTAAATGCTTTTGAACTTTATCAATGCTGTAATGTAAAGGTTGGGCAGTACTAGCTCAGATATGGCAGAAATACTTCATTCTTTGTCTGATCTGACTCTTGTAAAGATAGAGCATGCCATCAGGAGCTAGATATTTTCTGGAGCAATACAAAGAACCGACGATTCTTACAGTATCTTTTGCGATGACACTGAGTATACGAGAGTGAGCTTGAGACTTAGCATGCTTTCGCGGCAAAGATCCTGTTTGAGGCTATGACCACTCATCAGGAATAGTGCTGGTCTAAGGTTTGTTCAGTGATGAAGAAATGTTAATAGTTTAGTTTTGGATGCATTGAATGATACCAGCCAGTCGTTTCTTCATTGGGCTGTGAGAGTGAGGTCAAGGGAGAAATCATCTGACAGTCACTGGTGATCACGATATTTAGAGGTGCACCCGCATCGGTGAGGTATAGAGCCATAGCTTCACCGCACTTGGTGTTGCTGTTCTAGTTTCCGTATTAAGTTTTTACGATGTGTGGATTGCAAGCACCACACCCAATAAGATTTGGATTCATAGTTGTATTTCTCCTAGACTGGTGGCTAAACAAAGCTAGAGATCGCGTTCCTCCCTGCTGTTTAACACATAGACGACTAGAGTTTGTAGAAGAGATTGATTCAAACCTTTTCCAAGATTTTTAGGTGAAAGCGAACCTAACGGTTTCAGCTGAAATTAAACCTAGACAAGTCAATCCCAGTGTGCATATATATTCTAAAATTTAGATCAGTTACTACTGAAAATTGAGTCCGATCCTCACTGGATGCCCTGTACTTTCGGCCTTGTGCCACATCTAAGCTACGCTTGGAAAATCTCTGGGGCACCTCGAGTCGGTGTAATGGTTAGCAAGCTTGTCTTGCTAGAATAATTACGGCTGAGTAGTGAGTTCGATTCTCACTGAATGCCCCCTACTTTCGGCCTTGTGCCACATCTAAGCTATGCTTGGAAAATCACTATATATTCTAAAATTTATTTACTATAACGAAACACGTGTTTTAAAAATTTATTACAAGAATACATTGTAACGAATTTATGAGAACCCTACATAATAAAACAAATGCAATCTAGCCAACACTTCATTTACGAGACGCATTTATTTTCTTAATAATATAAACTTATATTACGCTATTTACATTCGAACAAATGCTTTTATTGATGAGTAGACGATCAATAATAATAATAATAATGCACTTGAGAGACTTAGTTTACTGAAAAAATTAATAGAAAGATTTTGTAAATTTCCACCGATGATCGCACTCTTTGCTTGGACAATGAATATAAAGAAACGGCTAATATTACCATTATCATTTTTTACGCCATTTATATTCGGACTTTTGTTCTCATCTTTATTACTGTTATCACAACGTTTCGGCCGTTGTACCCTCCGGACTTCTTCAGGTGTATATCAATCTGGGTACTCTCCTGAACCCTTTCGTTTAATCTACAGGCGTAAAATGTTCTAGTTCATGTCTACGGGTATTGCCGAGTGCTCCTTTTTATTTATTAGTTATTGAGTGCTAGTGGGGTATAGAATCACAAACCGCCCGACCAAGGGACTTAACTCTCAATCAATACGTCACCAAATTCACAAATCAACCTTTTAATCCACTCAGCCCAGATCAATATACACCTGAGGATGATTGGAGAGCACAATGGCCGAAATGTTGTCATAACAGCAACAAGGACAATAGTCCGAATATAAATAGTGCTAATAATGATACCGGCTCGTCCCAGAAATTCAGACAGAAAGTAAACTTACATTACCTGTAATTACTATCGACATGTCCTATAAAACGTTATCCGTTAATGGCTTACAAATCTCATCACAGCCATAATACTAATATCATACTGCAATTGTCTGGCTGGCGACCCGTGATTTCTAATATTCTAATCTATTATTTATGGCTCATTAGCCGCTGAAAACACCGTGATCTGTCAATTTCATTTATTCATGATACTTGTTGTAGTCTTTTACATGTATTCACTATGTTAAATAAATGAAATCTATTCTCAATAGAAAATAAGTATGAAGGTTCATTGGAATTAGGATAAGCAGTGTAAAGCTACTTTTAGGTAACATTTTGATCCCATTGGTTTGCAAGGATACACATCTGTTACCAACAATCCAGGTCTTCACTTGATTTGAATATATATTTTAAGTTTTCTTATTCATTTGTATTATATATTTCACTCGTGCATTCACGCAAGTAGTAAATGGTAGCACACGCTAGAAATGCAGAGATATCAAGTCTCCTCATGATCCCAACATTTATCTGGCTCTTTTCAGCGAATGGCTTATGGCCACATCACGTTGAAACACTGGTTTCCGTACGATCACCGAAGTTAAGCAACGTCGAGCCTTGAGAATATCTAGATGGGTGACCTCCTGGGAATACCAGGTGCTGTAAGCTTGGATGTCAGGGTGGTGTAATAGATGATGGCTCGGAATTGTTAATCGAAGACTATAGTTCTAAATACCGTTGGGTTTCCATTATATTTAAGCGCAACCCTTGGGAAAGGTAAGAATCCACATATTCCCGTCTCAGCTATGGGTTAATTAGTAAGACGTTTCAATAAATCATTATTATTTATTTGCTTTGTTTACTAAAGCTGGTTTTCTGGCTTCAGGGGTCTAATCTGTTTGAATTTCAAAATTCAAAATAATTTATGTTTTCTTTTCATCAGATTTGTAAACATTTCACTTCAAGCAAGATAGTAATTTAACCGAGTTCACTCCATTCAAAGCAGTAAAGCCACTAATACACAAGGGGCTACTGGGTGTGAAAGAATTAGAAACAGAACCATTGCTAAGGAGCGAGAACAAAAGAAGAGTAATCAGGAAGACAGTAGATAGCGATTGACATTGCATTTAAATTTTTAAAGATTAAAGTTGGCTGGAAAGCATGGAGCAGGAAGGGAATTCCACAAGGAGGAAGTGCGAGGAAAGAAAATGTTTGCATAGAATTTACGGTTAGATCTAGCCAACTCAGCTGTAAATTGACAAGACCGTCGACAGAGTAGTACTGCGCTTAAATTCAAAAAGTCTAGGTACCATAGCGAAGAGCGATATTTATTCTGTTTAATACAGAAATGTGGCACAAGGCCAAAAAGGGGATTGGGGAAAAGACGGTCTTCTGTCTTAACTATAACTTAGCTAGCCGCAAACACTGACCCAATCGTACGAACAATATTCCTTACACCAAAACAACACATTCTTTCGTACATTTCTTACTACAACCACCATAATACCTCTTTGTCTCTATGACCATAACGAAGAGCTCATCTGAACAATTAACATGAAAGTATTTAGAGTAAAAGTAAAGGGAGGCAACTTTACTGCAATGGGAAAGTGACAGAAATCGAGACGCCAGATTAAGGCTAACAATATTGCTAATTCTTTGGATTTTATCAAGGAGTTCTAGATAAATAGCAGGAACACCGGATCATATGTGGCAGCAATATTCTAAGTATGGACCTATGTAGACTTATAGATATGTAAAATAGATGATGGATAGAAAAATTGTCTAACACGACACATGAACCAACTTTCTTAACAGTGACCTAGTAATGCATTCTATATAGTCTTTCTATTTGAGGTCAGCCGTGAACGTTGTCAAGAGAAGGCGCAACGAGTCATTCTCCTTGAGTTCAGCATCAGCCATGCAATTTAGTTTTGGAGACGCTAAAATTAACAAGCCATCCATTGTCCCAGTTAACAACAAAATTAAGGTCGTTTTGGATATCAGTTGCCATTTTGAACTTATCAAACTGATCAGACTTAATATCGAGACAGGAGTACATGATTGCGTCATCAGCGTAGATACCAAGTTGAGAGCTGATGCCATCGGGAAGGTCATTAATGAAAATTTAAAACAAAGTAGGAACAACAATAGAACCCGGCTGGACATCTGCATTAGTACGAAAGGATCTGGAAAGAAAGAAAGAAAGAAAGAAAGAAAGAAAGAAAGAAAGAAAGAAAGGTGTAATTGAGAAAGGACAATGCTATGTACTTCCAGGAAATGGCAAAAGAAAAACAGAAAACGAACACCGAAAAGAATAAATTAAAAATAAAATAAACAGTAAATATTACATAACATTCAAATACTGACATCAAACTCTTCTTCTTTTTCTTCTTTTCTTTTTCTTGCAATTAGGATTTTATTATTACTGTCGCCATTTTTATTTCAAAGTTATATGTCTTAAATAAATAACTGGAAAGGAAAAATTCTCACAAACTAGACAAATAAATTACGACAATGATTCTTAAAAACAATTAAATTTTTATTTTTATGAGTGAACCTCAAAGTGTATAATTTCCATTACTATTATACTGATTTATGATGAAATGGTTCACTTGAAGGTATTACGTAATTTTAAGCCTAAGCTAATATCGATAGATATATTCAATTCCATTACGATATTAGACTGGTGAAAAGGTGTAAAACAAATTAGATGAGATTAATTTTCATCATATATAGTGAAACTGAAGGCAATGCCATCTGACAATCGAATGTTACTTCTCAAAAAGGATTTGGTTTTCGATATGAAATTGCGAAAGTGAGAAATTATCACGGTTTAGAATTGGAAATAAATGGAAATACTGAATCAAGGAAATCATCAAATAGAAACGTTTTGTTTTCAATTAAAGGTGAAATTCAATATTAATAGAAATATATATAAATTTTGTTGAGATGAAAAGATGATCAAAATTAGAATCTTCTACATTTTATTCATTTTGGAAAAAATAAAAACTAAATCGGTTTTCCTTTCTAAGGCATTCGATTGAATTTTATTTTTTTCATACTGTTGATCACACAATAAAAGGCCCAAGAGTCACTCGAGGTAAAGGATTACTGAACGAGATTGTTGAGTTTTAAACTAATCTACTTTTAATATTTTATAATACTATTGTTCACAGACTACACAAGAACCTATCAAACGATACTGAACGAGATGTTGTGATATCATAAAAAGAAAAATTATTATGAGGATATGTTGGATATATAATGGCTGAGTATGGACTTGAAAAGGTTAAGATTGTATTGATCGATAAAGCATCCTCTCGAGTAATTGTTCTATAAAGTGAAAACAGATACCAAATTATAGATATATCAACTAAGTTTAGCATAGTCTAGCAGAAGACAACAACTGCGAGGATCGATCTCACAATGATAGCAATGATTGCTCTTTTTTCACTTCATTATTATTATTATTATTATTATTATTATTATTATTATTATTATTCTTACATTTCCTTCTGGGTCCCAACCAGAGATTTAAGGTCAGAAATAGATTCATGATATTATCCACTAATGATTTTTATAAATAAAAAAAGAAAGAAAAGAAAACCTACGATCACACACTCTTTACAGAGATAAAGCTCTTCGTAATGTATGAGCTGTGTTTTTTTTTTTTTTGCATTTCCTTAAGGCATGGGTTACCAGGAATTCCTTCAAAGTGTCTATCGGACCCTTTTCCAATCAATCTGAAGACTCCAACTCCAACTGGAATTATTGATGTCCTCATCTGTCATATTTTTGAGATTCCCATGTCAAGATCCTTTTATATTGATAGTTATTGAAGTTCTTCAAAGATACATTACAATCTGCATGGACTGCCATGTCAATAAGAAAGCACATTCTGTTCTGATGATCTTTTATTACAATGTCTATGTGATTAGCTTTGATTGTTTTTTCTGTATGTAGTGTAAAGTCACATAAAGTTGTTACAGGTCCTATCTCTGTAGTCGAGTCTGAGTGATGTTCATGCCAGTTCTTTAAGGCATGGGCTATCAGTAATTCCTTCAATGAGTCTATCGGAACTGTTTTTTAGATTTTCATTTCAAGGGCCCTTCTCCTCCTCCTCCTCCTCCTCCTTCTTCTTCTTCTTCTTCTTCTTCTTATTATTATTATTATTATTGTTGTTGTTGTTGTTCAGAAATTCTCTTCTTCATATCAGATGCCTGGTGCTTATCACGTGGGATTAAGATCAAGTTTCAGCATTCTAAGTCCTATTTCAGATTTCCAACTCCAGTGATATTGGTACAGTTCCAAGTGCACTGACAATTATGGCCTCGATTCAAACGGTCATATTCTATATATTTCTTAGTTTCAAAAACGCATGTTTTTCACAAATTTCTGATTCTACTTAAAAAGTATTTTTTGTAAAAATGTGTTTTCCAGCATAGTCACGGCTTTTTCTTGTTACCATTTATCTACAGATAAATCCAAGTTTTTTTGTTTTTTTGCGGGGGGGTGCACAGCAACCAGTGTATAACAGTTACTACCCTGTCGTGTTTTGTATTTTTGGGGGGCCAGCTTACTACATTCCAAAATTACGTAGTTTAACGTTTCATCGCTTTATTCGTTTTTGCTGTTTTTTCATGTTTTTGTCAAAATTCGCCCTGACAGAGCTTGTCACGAGATACTTGTTCTGGGCTGCGATGATGACAGATTCCCATATTTCTTCAAATTTCCTCTACGAAGCCATACAACTTTTTTTCACCGTGATAGTTTCTGTCTGTCTATTCAATTCTTTAAATAGATTTTATTTATTTATTTTTATTATTATTTTTACGTTCTTCGTAATTCTGCTGCTTTTATTTTTATTTTTTATTTTTTTTTTGACTGTTTCGAGCATTTTATAATATTTTCGTTGCAATATTATATGTAGTTATTAACTTCCCTTTTGCCCTTCTAGACAAAATCTACGATACTGATCAGTCGTCTCCTGATTTCCTTCCTTCCTTTTGACATATAATCCGCGTCGATGTAAAGTTTTGAGCATATTCTTGAGTGTTTTAGTTAGCTGATCTATTGATTCGAGTTACTCTTTCGTCCAGACGAGGAACCTTTCTATCTTAATATCGATAATGCCCAGGTGTTCATTCCTTTTATTAGGTATCTGCTATTTAGCATGGTTTCATGTATTTTCTTACCCTTCTAAAATACCTTTATTATTTATTCCTTTCGTTTCTCTATCTACTTTATTGAGTCATATTCGAGTAACCCTACTTTTCTTATTATATGGTATTTGATTCCATCTGTTGTGAAAAATCTTCCCTTTTGCATTACCGACGTTGCACATTTTGTTTGTCTCTAATCCTTTTCCGTTGTTTACACTGAAGCTTTTAGATTTCTTGATCAGTGTTTCGAATTATGTCTTATTCTTAGTAAATAGTTTTATGTCATTCATAAGGTAGTTGAATTTTGTCTTGGTGAATTCCCTTTTTTGCAGTCTTTTTACATTAATTTCATCATCATTCGGCGGTTAAGTTCACTTGGCATTTTCTCATTTTTCATTGTCATGAATTATAACAGTGATGCATCAATCTTGAATATTTAGAGACGAGTATCCAGCCATTGCGGAAACCTTATCTTATACAATTTATTCAGTCAATACATCCTATT